TCTTTCCCTTGCCCACCTCGCTTACATCTCGTTTGCCGCCTCCACCCTTCCCCAATCTTCCCTCATCACTCCTAGTCGCCGATCCTCGCTGCCACCATCCAGAAAACAAGAAATCTGTTGTTTTTCTGCTTTCCAATCGTCATTCCGACTTGCGGCCGCCTAGATTGCAGCATATCTTGTTGTCCCTGCAGTGTCACTTGCTGGCCCCGCACCGGACAAAACTCCTCTTGGTGTCTTGCAGTCCACAGCTCTTTCTCTTCGCCGCTCCTCGCTGTCCCAGACCTCCGCTTGGTTGCCAATGTCATTTCAGCCCCTTCTTTTGTTGTATCAATCACTTACAATCCATTTCAACCACCTACTTCCGCTCTCCGACCGCCTAGCTGACCTTCATCACCCATGGATCGATCCCTAATGTGAGTTTGTGTCGTGTTTGTTGAAATTCTCTTTCAAGCATGTTTGATCTTAAACTCTTATTTACTTTTAGTAATAATGTCTTTCCTATTGCTGTTTGGGTTAACTCCAATATCATCACTTATCTTAGCTAGTATATCCTTTGTCCTATCTTTGGGTTTCTAGCATCCACCGATACCCAACTCTATCTACACAAATAATTTCTTTTCTACTATTTATCACCTGTACGCGCTTTCATCTCTCTGTTCCTAAAACTCTAGCCATGCTGCATATAAGAAATTCACAGAGGGATGTTGAAGAACTTATCATGGAAGAGGTATAGTTGAAATTCCTGCAAATGCAACAGAGGCTTTCCACTATCGAGAGGAGACATTCTGAAAGTGCCGCTCGTATCCACAACGGTGACTTTGTAAATCAAAGGAATAAAGTGAATCTTTTTCACCATATAGGTTCCATAAATGAAGAGCCACTATCCTTAAGTTTAACATGAATTATTCGAGAAGCCAAAATTTTGATGTAACAGTGGATTTGCCAAGTCTAATGATCATTTGGATCTGGGCAAGTTTATTGAGTGGCTTCAGACCGTAAAACTTTTCTTCGAGTACCAAGAAGTCCTGTCGGACAAAATGTTGAAAATAGCTGCCAAAAAACTTAAATAAGAGTGTATTATTTTATTGAAAAAAATTGAAGCACATATTCCAGCGTGAGGGAAAAAAATAAGATCACGACTTCGTTTAAGAAATTGAAGATGCAGCGCCGATACTTGACAACTCACTACAGACCAGATGTTCACAACTCAGCTTCAAAAGTGAACATACAACATTTTCGGATAACTGCCACACTTTACATGCAGAGTTCAACCTCTGTATCAATTCACAAGAGTACACCAAGGGGAACATTTATGCCTTCGATTGAGGAGAAACCAATTCAAAGTGGAGAGCAGGTGAAGCCAATCTGCATTAGCAAATCCATGCCAACCCGGAAGTGTTTCAAGTGTCTCGATTTTGGGCATACTGAATTAGAGTGCACAATCAGGATAATGATCTTTTTCACCGATCAATGAACAATTGAAGAAATAAACATTGATATTGGAGGAGATGAATATTTTATATTGGATTCTCAACATCCAACCGACAATGAAGAGACACTTACAACTCCAGCTGAAATAACAGTAGTTGTTCGAGAAGAGCGAGTCCGAAGTAATAGGTGTTTATGCAAAGTATGATATTGTGGTGTTTCGAACCACCGTTTTGCAGTAGTTGAGTGGAGCATCAACAAGACTGCCATTGGAATTTCAAAGGCCCATGAGTTCGGGAAACCAACGCCATATGTTTGACAACCCCAAATAAGATATATTTAAGTTTTTTAAGATATATATGTTATTTTCCGAGTTGTTCTAGTTGAGGGAGGTCCAACATATCAAAGGTGAGAAGCTTTTGAGTTATTTATGGAACATCATATGAAGCCTTTTGGGTAGTAAAATCAGTTCAACATTGTACCCACCGACATATAATCAGACAAGATGGATGAACTACAACGTGAGAAATCGCCTTAGGTTTTTTGTGGGAAAGAACATTCTATAATGAGATTCATGTCCTTACAGAGAAGAAGAAGAAGAGACATCTCTTGAGTGGTTATACTTCAATGTGGTCCAGCCTGCTATAGATTTCGTCTGAGAGTTGATTTCTCTTTAGATACTTGTTTATCATATAAAGTCAGACGATATGAAGAATGGAAGAAGCCAATTACAGATTTAATGACTCAACTCATGTTACATAAGGATACCCATCCATCTATAGTTCTAGTTATGATGTATATCTATTCCATCGCTTTGTAATGTCACCACCAACATGATTGACTTATCGGGAGATTATAATCTTTCTTTCGCCTTCAACATGGCTGACTTGACACCATAACATGAGGAGACAAGCTTCGACAGATGAGAAGTTGAAACTCCACCATCCTCGGGATATTGATGCCAAAGCTTCCCGCTCAAACATTTGTGCAGTACTATAGCTGCTACAGTATTGCAACATTCTCTGTCGTGGGAGACGTGCTCAAAACCGTCTCATTTTCCTTTCTTATACCATTTTTCTATCATTCTTCATTCCTTTTTAGGTTTTTCTTATATATGTGTTGTATTAGGTAGGGCTGTCAAAAAAGCTCGTTGTTCGCGAACAGTTCGTGTTCGGTTCGTCAATGAGTTCGTGTTCGATTCGTTCGATAAGTAAACGAGACAAACGCGAACAAATTTTTTTCGTTCGGTTAGTTAAACGAACCAAACACGAACAGTGATGCGTTCGTTCGTGTTCGAATCGTTATTGTTTGAAATATAAAATAATATAAAATAATTATATATAAAAAATTTATTATATTTTAAAACATTAAATTTTATAAATTATAATATATAATAAAATAATAATATTAATATATTAATATACTATAGTAGTAATATACTAATATAGATATTGTATATTTATATAATATAAGTTATATAATTAATATATAATATTATTTTTATATATTAATATTAG